TCCCGCACAAATATTTTGTTGTAATATGATCAAGTTTTTTTAGTATTGTTTGTTTTAAATTAACGAGTAAGCCCTTGCAGTATCTCCGGTCGATTAAAACATGGCGTCCAGTAGGGTTTTATGAGAAACGCCGACACGGTTGAACTGATTCAAAGTGAACGCTATTTCAGTGATCAGTGCAAAAGAAATGACCAGTCCCACAAACGCAAATGACTGGAGCATGTAATATATAAATGGAAGTACATACTAGTTTTCCGTAGGCACATAAAAGCTATCAACGGGTATCACCACACAACGCAGGTATATAATGAAGATGACAAATCAATCCACGTAAAAGACATTTACCAATTCCATCACCTCGATACACAATGCAATAACTTCCCAGGTCAATCCAAATTGAAGACATTAAACAAATCCATCACCTCCACACAACACAATAACTTCCCAGGTCAATCCAAATTGAAGACATTAAACAAATCCATCACCTCCACACAACACAATAACTTCCCAGATCAATCCAAACTGAAGACATTCAACAAATCCATCACCTCGCCACACAACGCAAAAACTTCCCAAATCAATCCAAATTCATTACATGTGTTAACCTGCCCTATTTTTCCATCGGGGTCTACGTTTCAGAAGGGGGGACCTTTCAATATCCTCGCCGCAATCGTGCCTCGGTAGCTCTTGACATCGCCGAAGTCCTCGCCGAGGACACCAACGAGATTGACATCTGGACCTGCCCGCGCATAACACTCTGCGAACATGCAGACTAAAGGTCCACAGTCCAACGTTTCACCCTGGTGTCGGCATCTAATGTACTCGGGCATGTCGCTGACCATAGGCCATAGTCGTGACGCGTTCATATACAACGATAAAAATCGCGTCTGCACAAATAACGTTACTCTTTCGTTAAGGAATTCACCCTACCCATAGGCAATTAATTATGATCATTCGAAAGACGTACCAATTTCTTTGCATTCCCCTGGCCGAAGGGGTCGCGCATTGAGTTACACTCCAACACAACACGTTTGACGGTATCCAGTATGCAGAGATGCCAGTGAAACCGGGTGTGTACGGGTAGAAATATGTACCGGCACCCAGACCGGATTTTGTCCATGATTCCGGCAATCTCTTGGCCTACGGTCACTTGCAGCGAGTTGGCAAACGCGAGTACATTACCCTTATTGATGCTCGGCTTTTTCGCTCCCCTGCTTGGTCGTGATAGCGCGTCGTTCACGGCTTTCTGAAAATCGAACACACCAACCAACGCAATAATAACAATGTGATTTGTAATACTAACCGTATAAATTCCAAACAGGATACTCACCGCTACGAACCATGGCACACAACCACACCGCACCTGCGGATTGTGTTGGAGCTGATATTCATTGCTGCATAGATGATATAGGTACGCGTCGATGACTTCGCCTTTCACAGCTTCGTCAAACAGTAGTTCTAAAACGGCATCGGACGAGACAGACACGACGCCCTGCTGCCATACAGTGTCCCTACAACATGATAGTCGCAAACGGATAAAAACATCGATTGAGAAAAATATATAAAGCCTTAATAGTGAATAGCAATACCGGACAGCGAATGACGCGAGAAAATGTTCAATGGTGTTCGTCTCATCCTCAGATAAGGAACCCTTTCCACAGTAGCTGTCATTATTGCGATATCCCTCCCACTTTTGTGCTCCAGGGTCTGCTACAACCTTAGCATCCGAGTCCCCATCGTCGCCGACGACAAATGGTTCCTGAACCAACAATGAAGATAATCATGTTTCCGTAGGTATCTGTATTTATTGTACAGGTATTGACGCAGAAACACTAGGTATTTAAGAATCTATCTGAAGTATTTTGAGCAAGACGACTTATATTTGTATGGAACTACGTACCTGCTCATTATTGACGTCGACCGCTGACTTTCCTTTCGCCCTCCGTGTTTTTCTCGCTTTCTCAATTCGCGGTGTCGACACAGGTGTCACGAATTCAGGCTTCTTCTTTCTCTTCCGATCCTTACGTGCCATTACACCACGTACAATCGATGAATCTGCGGCCCTGCTACAAGTCTCACGGTCGGAGTCATCGCCCTGCTACAATTTCAACAAAGCAAATAATCATTCAACAGATAGACAACTACGACCTACAAATTGTACTTACTATATTAATTAGCTTACCTTGACATCTATCGGTGCAACATAAGGAACAATGGCCATCAATTGGTTAAACTCTAGCAGGCTACCAACCCCTTCGTCATCTGACTCGTTTATCGGATCAACTTCGGCCAAAAGGATGTCCATTTTTTTTTTGCTTCGGCGCTCGGTATTCGCTTGCTCTTCCGCTGCCTCCTCGGGATCCTCCTCAGTCTGCCTCTCCTCCTCCCCAGTTTTTTCCTCCTTCTCCTCCTCCTCCTCCTCTTCACCCTGACTCTCCTCCTCCTGACCTTGCTTCTCCTCCATGTCGGCCTGCTTCTCTTTCCTCTCAGACTCCACAGCCATCCGGTCTGCTGTCTCTTCATCCCCATAGTTTGCATCACCCTCCTCGCCATCGCTCTCGTCCTCACCCTCACCTTCACTGTCGTCATCGACAACACCGGCTCTAGATCTTTGTAATTTATGAGCAAGTCTGGCAATTGCAGTGTCTTTCTTCCGCAGCTCCACCTTCAATGCCGCAATTTGATGCGCTGCTTCCTGCAACATATGTTAATAATGTCATATAAGAAATTATTTTATCCATTTACAACGGTAGCAACATTGAATAATGCATTTACCTCTGAAGCATGACAAATTGCACGAACGAACTTTTCTTCCGTGCCTATCCGATAGAATTCCTGAACATCTGACCGCTTTAGGGATGTCAATTCACCAACTACATGAACCCTGGACATTGGACCGAGGCTATTCAGCCACCGAAAGAGACGCGGTACCTTCGGAAGGCACCGTGCCTTGTCCAGAGTTGGGACCCTCTCATTGAACCACGCCTGCACATATTGTAATAGACATTACTGCCAACAATAATACATATTGTGCAATATACCAAAATAAGTAGAAAAAATTAACAAATCCGATATTACATTGCTTACCAACAAACCCGCGGTGCAGCCTGTCAAATATTTTTTCCCGGACTTGAAGTCGCTTATAGACTTCAACAGATAACGGTGACTCGCGGGTCCCCACGCGTAGTCACCAATCGCGCTCAGGTCTTCCACATACGGTAACAAAAAAAGGGGTACAGAATAATTCGCAGAACAAAATAAAATATTTGCAAAAACAAACATAATAAAAAGACGAGCAACATCCGCAACAGAAAGAGGCTCCAGCCCCTGCAACAGAGCCTCACGCAGCTTCTGCAACACCTGCCCGCGGGTTACAGAACGTGGCTTGCTCCAAAAAATTCGAACAAACCATTCGTTTTCGACCGATGTATTTTCGGTCACGTAGACTCCTTTCGCGTGTAGTCCTAAGACTACAGAATATTCTTCAACTTCAAATGGAAGCTCAATGTCACTTCCAATCTTGAAGGACATAGATTCCGAACTGAAGCTATTGACGAGGGCAACAAGTCGGTGCCATGGAAACTTCATTTTCGGGCAATCCAGAAAATGCCCGAATGGTGTCATGTTTATAGCTGCGATGTGTTGGTCTCTCATGTGTTGCTTCAGTTTGGCCAGCTCATTATGAAAAAAAGGTAATGCAAATCGGCTGATCACCGATTTGTGCTCCTTGCCTGGCCTGTAAGTAAAAACCATAAGTCCACGTTACCCAAATCTCTAATTTAGTTAAAAGTTTTTCACAATTTAGCAGGAGTAAAAACGCATTCCGAGTATACAACAGTGCCGTTCAGGTATATTAATTGGCAAATTAGACCAAACAAATGAAACTCCTGGTGCCTAATATTACCGCATTTATCAACCCACAAATATGACTATTTACCGAACAATCCACCAAAAAACCTAAAATATGCAACTTCGAGTAACTAAACAAAATATACATCTCCAAAATTAACAAAATCAAAGATAAAAACAGATAAAATCACCCAAAATCGGCCGAACCGGGTTTCCTGGCCAAAAATTCGAACAATTTCAAACCACCCGTTGAACTAACACAACACCGAACACCCAGGGCTCCTCATCACTAAACCGAGGCATACAAACACGGGACCAAGGCTTCTACCCCAAACAATCGAGTAAACTACGATATAAAATTCGATTGTCAACAAAATCATAAAACGAAAAGGGTTTCGACCAGACACTTACTTTTTTGAACTCCTCGTGGGGGATCGCGGCGGATTCGCGGTTTTTCTCACCATTTTGCTGAACAAAATGTCTTACTGCTGATCGTCGAGTTCGCGAGGGACGATTTCCTTCTCGAAGAACTAGGGCTTGAACGGAGAGTGAGTGAGGGGAGTTAGGGAATGTTTCAGTTTTTAAATCGTGCATATTTTCTGTGATTTTTTTTTTAAAAAAATCACAAAATAAGGTACGCAGTATTTACATGGAATTATCTAATCGTATACTGGGGGTAGAGCGGGAGGTAATGTAGGTATATATTATAAAATTGGGAGTATTTATTAATCAATCGTAAGTACATGTTGCATATACAATTGTGATTGAGTAGAAAATACAAGAAGAGAGTTATAACATATCTAATCAATAAAGTAGGGACTGCAGATCAATTAATTTACAATGGGGACTGAATTGCAAGCAAAATACACTGACAGGGATTTTAGTCCAAGTCTCCCTAAACTAAATTGGTAGTTAAAAAAAAAAAAAACGCACACACATAATGCTATAAAAAAATTATACACCGTCAAAATTGTGATATGAAATATCAACGGCTGAGATTGATTTGTTGCTGACCGAGATGGTCTCAGTCACCGTCCCCATCGAAGAACATAGTCGTTCGTCGATCCCACAGAATCCTCCCCAGATTCCTTTCAAATTTCTCAACCGAAAATCCTATTTTCAGAACCCCTTTGACGCAATGATCCATCTGCCCTATTTCTCGGGCTTTTTCCTCCTGTCCCTTCCCCATTACAAAGCCCGCAAATGGCAGGTGGGCACGAGAAAGCTACAGGGACGATGTATCACGCCGCATTTCGATGCAGATTCACTCGCCGCCATAAAAGGAAAAGAAATATATTAATTAATAACTGTTTTTGTTTGTTTCCATGGATTGCCAGCCAAGCATTGCGAGAGTGCATTCCATAAGAGGACTGGGGTCACCTCTGAGAATTTTAAATGTTTGTTCCTTATCGGTATTAAACATTTCCTCGTTGGACGCTACGTGACCCGCTATGGTCGTTGCCATTTGGTAAATAAATATTTGTTCTTGTGTGGGTGTAAGTGATTTAGGGTTTGGGTTGAACTCTGAAGCAGCCATGCCGGGAGGAAGTGGTGAAGAAGTCGAGGTTATACACTTGTGGGCATCACAGAGGACTGCCTGCACTTATTTCATGTATTCTTTTGCTCAGGTGGAATAAATTTGAATGCTTTGACTTTTATTTATGTGTTGAACTACCATTGAATCTGTTGGCATCATTTCTGCAAGTTACCGGCTGATGATCGTTGAGCCCTGATACTCTGTTACATGAGGATTATAATATACATGTTTAGATGGATAGATATTGCATACGCTTTATTTACTTATTTATTTATTCTTTCCCAAGAGAGATGATGTGGAAGTGCTCGACGAACCTCTCTATGCAAATTTCTTACGCGAGACGGGAGCTGAAAGGCCATACAGAGAAGAGCTCCTATCGAAAGTGGTGAGCTGATGAAGCATCTCTGTATTTCTCATTCTTTAATTACTCTAAAATGTATGTTTACTGCATCTTCAGTTCATTATGTTCATTACATTATTTCAAATACTCACAGTTATTTTATTAATTGTTATCTTTGTTATTATTGTTTTCCGATTATGGGTTTATTGCAAGGATTCTAATTGCTAATTCTGATTTTACTTTCAAGTAAAAAGAAGTTTTTGCAAACAATGCCGTAATAAGAAGGTGAATTAGTTGTACTCAATTGAGCACTTGGTGAATTAGTTGTAGTGTTGTTTTACGGCGGATAACGTAGGGCACTGGTTTGTATATCTTGTGACATTTTCTTGCTCATGATATATATTTTTGGGAGTGTCTAGGAATCAAAAGGAGATAAGGTTGTTGAAGAGATTATATTTGGCCCTCGGCAGAGGAAGTATCGATTCTGCAAGGTAATGTTTAAATAATCACAAATACTGTGCTAAGTAGAATCTACGTGTTCATGCATATTGGTTTTCTGATTTTACTGTCTTCATTCTGATTTGTCAATATCATAGCTTCTTTTATACTGCTCACCATCAAATTACCATTACCCGCCGTATTTATCTTGTAAAGCTCTTTCAAATCATATGTGTTCATCCATGGGAAATTTATGTGTTTAATGTAATGGTTACATAATATATAATACATATATTTTGTCTGCAGCATATGGCGTATCAACGTCTACGGAGTCGGAGTCTAACAAAGGAGCTTGTAAAGAGAGGAAAGCACTGCATACTGATACAAAATCCTCTTGATGTTTTGGTAAATGACTTCATCATACATTCACACATATATACATGTGTAAATTTTCTAAGCCAGGGAGCATCTCAGGGCAATGTATTTATATATCTCTCCATGTTTAAATGTTGTATTCCTAAGAGTTGACATTAAGCTTTCATGATTCTATGGGACGATCTATTTAAAAGCAATTTTGGGTAGAGAAGAACCTTTACTTGCTTCGGAAAGGAGTGAAAAAAATAATCTGGGAAGATAGATTTGAGCCTTTTGTCTTGAACCATGTGTAACCTCTTGATGTTTTATTCCAGACATCCTACGGAAAGGACACTTCCCCATTATTCACTGATCTGGGGTATGATGACTTGGTTTCCATCTACAGCGATCTGTCTCGTGGAGGAAAATCACCACATGTCATTGATATGGAGTTATTGCAAGAGAACCCAGAGGTTTGTATCAGTTCATGTACCTAAAACACGTTAGATGTTTGAACTGGCTTTATCTTATTTTTTTCTTCCCTTGTAGTTTCTTTGCAGAATTTAATTTTTTCTGTGAATTTGTTAGTCCTAAATTTAGACGATGTTTGCTTGCTTGATCAGAGTCAAACATTGGTTCTTCATTGCTATTTCCTATTGATTCCAAGGTCCATTGGACTTGCATTTATATTTGGAGGGAGGACTTATTGTAACAATAAATCTAAAAACAAGAAAAATTTCTTGGACTATATATTCTCTGTCTTTACATGGTGTTGATCTCTCTCTTTAAATTCATGTTTGACTAGTTGGGACTTTCTCATGGATTGCAGGAGAGCTACAATCATTAAGGATTGTAGTTCGACTTTTAGTTTACAAGTATTTCAAGTGTTGGAGAAATATGCTGTATTTGGTCATTTGCAATGTTACTATGTTCGAGTGTTTGTTTAATCTCGTTTATAAAATTTTAATTTTGGGCAAACTATTTCTGCATAGGGATAGAGAAGTGCAAGTTTTTCTTTTGCTTGGATAGGGGTGCCATGCTAAGCTATCAAATCAGTGTGTGTGTGTGTGTGTGTGCATGTGTGTATTTTTAATAAATGCAATATGTAAGTTATTTGATGATTGAAATATATGTATGTATTTTGTGTAACTGGTTGCAGAAGCAAAATTACACATGGATGTATATAGTTATAATTATTATGCATTTCGAAAATGTATTTTGGGGAAAACAATGATATATTTTATTGAAGAAAACTAAAATTAACACAGCCCAATGCAGTTTAAATTTTCAGGGATGGAAACATTTTGCTAATTCAAAAGTGTTTGTGCCATGCCCTCTCTCTTCTTTGATGCATATGTATCAGGTTTTAAACCCTCACTACTTAGCAGCATGCAAGATCCAAATTTATATATGGTTGACACAACTAGCACTTGTGACCATGGCGCATGTTTACTGAATACTTTATATATCATGGCATTACACAACTGGTAGAGTTTGATATATAGTTTATTGCAAGATCTTTTGGATGTAATGTTGCCCAAAATGATGTTGTACATAAATTATTTGTTCTATTAACGTTTAATTATCACTTTTTTCATGCAGGCTACCTTGCGCTGTCTGTGCAATGACATTGGTATACCATTCCAGTCTGCAATGCTCAAGTAAGGAATCAATTCTGATATTAACATCGGCATTTACACCTCATTAGATCACTTATAGGATCTCTAGACACTTTTCTTAGTCAAGTAGGGCATGTTTGGTTTGTGATTTTTTTTTTAATTTTTTATTTATTGTGCGTGCGTGTTTTATTTGATGTGATGTTTTGAGATATCTGTTTGTGTTCTTGTGAGTTGCATGCTTCTGTGACACTAATTAACAGCTCTGTACATGCATAGCTACGGCATACTATGTTTCCATGTTCCCTTGGCTAGAATTCTATGACTGCATTTTTTTGGTTCATTTCAATGATGTGAGTTTTCATTCCGAGACTAGGGCATCATTTGGATAAAATGAACAATGTCTTTGTTTTTTCTTCACCTCTCTCTTTCTATTGATGATCAAAATCCGTAAGCTTCAAGCCAAAATTAGCCAAGGCAAAAGGTTTAGTTCTTTTGCTTATCACTACTAACATAACATTCCAAAAGCAATGCAAATCTTTCTTTTATTGCATTTCTCCAATTAGGTTCTGTTTTGTATATTCTAGGGAGAGAGTCTCACAGCAAGATCAATGAATATAACTGCCACTCTCTCAAGTGATCAGCCTTTCCAATGATATATATTTTTTTCTCAATGGTTGAGTTACACACCACTCAAGAGCATGAATTTATGCTGTTTGATTTGAAATCAGGGAGAAATTAATGCTGTTTTCTTTTCAAGACTACGCGTCTGCAGATTTTGCTTTCATTAAAAAAAATGTAGTATTATCTTGAAGATTCTAATACTGTTGCTCAACATCTGCTATTTATTTTCAGATGGGAAGCTGGACCAAAGCCTTTCGATGGTTTTTGGGCTCCCTATTATTATGGAAGTGTACATCAGTCTACAAGTTTTGAACCACCAAAAAAATATCCTTCTGTAAGTAAAATTATATATCTTCTTTTTTCTTTGGACTTGTTGATTGTCATAGGTAAATTATATTGGGCATATGCTGACTGATTATGTTCAAAACTTTCAGAATGAAAGATATCTTGTCAAAGGGGTTCGAATACAAAATTAGTCTGTTTAGTCGCTATAAACCCAGATCTTCACTTATTTCATATCCAGATTTTTAGCATGACTTGCATTTTCTAGTGTATGTTGCCATGTGCTCTTAAGTGGTGGATCAGAACATGCAAGACGCCACAGCAAGTAGTCCTTCTCTGGAAACAGTGTAGGGATTGATAATGGCATAATGCGCTTTATAAATAAGGCTTTAATGGAGCTATTTACCTGATTTACCTTATTTTGTAAGAAATAGATAGATGTTATGACCATTTTATGCAAAATGATTTATCTTTCTGTGTACTCTGGCTCTATTCCTCACGCATGATGTCCAGACTTCCTTGGAATATGTTTGTGAATTTGCATATCATGTACAGCCATCAATATAGACACCTTTTTAGATATAAGAGTGTGCACAAGAATTTCTCTTCAATTTACAAAGGCTAATATTGAATAGTAATTCAGCTTCTTATTGGTATGAGATGATAGACTGGTCACGGTTCTTTCTTATGGTGTTGTTTTCAGCCGTTTCCACCGAATTTCTACGACTTGCTGGAGCAAAGCTTTCCTTTCTACAATTTGCTTAAACGCTATGCGAGGCACCCAACTGCCAAATCCTTCCATCCCTCTCTTCCGGTCCCTGCTAATGAAAAATTGCTTTCTTGGGTTGGTGATGAGCTTATACCCCGAGAATCTGCCGAGGTACCATTGTTGTAAACATCAAGGGGTATTGTAAACCTCACTCTGAATAAAGAAGTAGCAAGTGTTTCCTTGATTCTTTGATATGGACAGCAAGGTTTTTGATATCATTGCAATATTTCCAGGTTTCAGTGTTTGATTCAGTTGTGCAAGGTGGTGATGCAGTTTGGGAGGGTCTTCGAATATATAAAGGGAAAGTATTTAAACTGGAGGAACATTTAGACAGGTAACAAAAATATAAATGAATTGGTCGAGAAATGGTTGCATTGTTTTTCAGTTGCTGCTTATAAGTGATTTCTTTCAATAAAAAAACACTCTCTTATTTGAATTCTGCAGATTAGATGTTATTTGTCCACACATTGAAAGACTAATATGTTGGTTTATTATATGATGGGATATCAATTTACATCATGTTCATTGACTTATAAATTGAAACAGAGCAGGGTTATTAATGAATCATAATTTTAAAAAAAATTGTAAATCAATATTAGGTGGTCTTTCAGTTTTATAGATGGAACTCAATGGTTTATTTATTTCTGTTTAACTGTGCCGCATAGTTTTTGTTGTGATGCTAGTGTGAACAATGTTGTCTTCAATTTGATCTGGTGAAAAGATGTGGATCTTGGTGATTAGTAATGGCAATGACCTTTAGTGAAATAGTGCTTTTCTTTTACTTTAGTTGCTTTGTCATATTTATGACATCATTTCTTTAGGTGACAGCTAATAATTGATCGACACACTACCCAGCAGCCGTTTCATTGGATTCTGATTTCTCAATGTGTTGCATGCCTTTATTTGGTTTCACATGTATTTGTTTTATGTTCTGTATATCAAAGAATAATGGTTCTTTTCTACTTTCTAGGTTGTTTGACTCAGCAAAAGCTCTAGCTTTCATTAATGTTCCAACTCGTGAATGGGTAACGTTTTCTTTAGATCCTTGACATTATTATTCAAACTGTAAACTCAGTATTAGGGAGTTGTTTTAGTTCACATAATAGTATATGTTCTACATATTGCCTCATAGTAGTGTGCCTTTTTTTACCCCATCTATGATTGTCTGAATGCAACATTATTGCAGGTGAAGGATGCAATTTTCACAACTCTAATAAGGAATGGAATGTTTGATAATGCACACATTAGATTAACTCTCACTCGAGGAAAGAAGGTATGTCATGTTTGTTTTTATTTACTTTTCCTTCTTTGCTATTTTGAAAGGAGGCTTTGAAACATGAATCGTAATTTGGCAAAATTACAGTAAATATTAAATATGCAGATGAATTTCTACTGATCTATGTGGTTTGATGAGTTATCCTTCTGCTGGAACCAGAAACTATATTCCTTTATCAGTTCTTTTCAATTATATTTGGCCAGTTGTGCATCTGTGGAAAAACATTAAGTAAAACTGTCCTAAAGGACATTTCTCATATATTTAAAATATTTATGATTTTAAAATTTAAATATAAATTCAATCAGGCGGCAGATTAAATAAAATTGATAGGATTGATGCACCACCACACTGCAAATTTACTGTGCCCTTGAGTGTGATTATAGTATGACAGGAGAAGCAAATCTCTTACCTTCTCCTACTTTTTATGTCCTTTACCTGATTATAATTGTTGGAAGACGTGTGTGGAACTAATGGTTAATCTACCAGTGGCTCAAAGACATGATTTCGCTCATTGTAATCTCTATTTCATAGGTGACTTCGGGCATGAGTCCAGAATTCAACCTTAGTGGATGCACCTTAATTGGTAAAACACAGATTGTATACTGCTGTAGTTGCATATGCATTCATTTATTGCATTCTCCAGAATCTGCTCTGTCTGAGTTTGGCATGGCTGATACGTACCACTACTGTGTCATCACCGTGTTTCTATTTCTGGTTTCTTTGTCTTTAGCCATTCATTTCTATGTAGAATTTCGTTTATTTATCCTGAAATGGGAGTGTAGGTTTAATGTTATTTCTATTCACTTACTGCTTTGAGGAATTTTAGTCTAAAACTTTCTGTAATCTTGTTGAATATCAGCAACAAACAAAAGGTCCCTACTTGGTTAAGAGAGGACTCTATTTCGAAATTTCTTGTAACCTTTGTAAACTTATTTGGCACATCAAAATTGTCTTTCCATCAATTGCTGTATGTGATTTTTGATTTATTGTTCATGATCTTTCAGATACTCCAAATCTTTAGCAAATTATAATAAGAGACACAACTACTCACTTAACAAGATGATCAATTTTTCTCATGACATTTTTCATTTTTATTTTGTTTTTGGGCTCGCCTGCTATTTGCCATTCCATCATTGTTGTATTTGTACTATCTTTCGGGATAGCTAAATTGTACTATGTCAAAAACCCTATGCAATTATGTTCCATCTTTCATGTCAATAGTTCTTGCTGAATGGAAGCCTCCGGTCTATGATAATGCACAGGGAATAACATTGGTTTCTGCTACTACACGCCGAAATTCCCCTAATGTAAGGTTTCAGATCATCTTGTGGATGTTCTTATAGAGCTAATTACTTATTTTTGTACTTAGTGGCTTCAAAGTGTTGTTATGCCTTTTAAGTCTCTCTCCCAATCTTTCATATGTTTAAAACATTCTGGATTTGTGGTAACTTAATTAAGTGCAATCATGGAATTATGTTATGCTATGGTGCACCTGTTCCATATGTGATCCTTGGTGGAATTCATATCAACTGAAATTTTCCTTTTCTACTGCATTGCAGCAATGTTACTTGATTTGCTATCATGGTATCTTTTTTCGATTTCTATATGATATCGATTTTTTTACTTTAAATAGTTGTACCATTTACGAAATTAAGAGAATATTATTATGTTTTGTTAAGAAACATTTTATGATCTTACAAATGCAAACCGTGTCCTTGCTCGTGGTTTTGGCTTACAACTATAAAGATTATTAGGCTTGGGGCAGGCCACTTCTTCAATTTATCAAAAAAATATGAGCTGTATTATCTTGATTCAAGGCATCACATATACAACTAACACACAACACCTTTTGCCTTTTGCAGAATTTGGACTCAAAAATTCATCACAACAACCTCCTTAACAATATTCTTGCAAAGGTAGGACGTTATTTATTTATTTAATTTAGTGTATAAGAAACTGAACATAAACTATTATGGGATGTTGCATTTTCCTATTAACTGAAATATTTAGTTGGTGTTGTTATTCAATACCATATTAAAGTGGGAGGTCCCATGTTCTGTGCTCCCCACCGCCACCCATTTACGGAAAGGAGTTTCAGGTTTTGAGAAAAAGAACATTGGTGCTCAAGTAATCTTGCTGAAGTACTTAACCATATCAGATTATTTGTCTCTGTCTGCTTAAGCTTTTAGTTGATGCATTGTTTCTTTGTTAGTGACTCTACCACTAGCGGAAGTTTTAATATAATCATCCAGTCTCAGTTAGATATCACAATGAAGCATTTTTTTTCCAGTGTTAACTCGAAACCTTTTCATTTGGTGCAGATAGAAGCAAATAATGCAAATGCTAATGATGCAATAATGCTTGACAAGGATGGTTTTGTGTCAGAAACTAATGCAACAAATTTAGTAAGCTCTTGACTGGACCCGAGTTACAGATTTCTCTGCCATTTCTGTTTAGTTTCGTATTGAGGTTTCATATATCATTGCCCATCGCATCTTTCTTCATCTTTTTATTGTTTTGTTTACCTTTCTTATTTTGTGTGGAACAACAATTACGCTCATGTAGTCTCGATGTTATTGAAAATGTACTGTTTTTTGTTACATGTTTATATTGTGAGGACTGAGGATGATTTGGGACTAGTTGTATTCGTAGATATTCTTTTATTTATCTAATTCTTCACCATAGAAGCATTATCGTAATGATTTTACCCATCTGAGCTGCAGTTTCTGGTGAAGAAAGGAAAAGTTGCGACACCACATGCTGATTACTGTCTACCAGGAGTAACGCGAGCGACTGTAAGATTCTTAGTTTAAATTTGCTTGGTCTTGTCTCTTCCTTCATTATACATAAATTAATCACCATCTTTGCAAATGATTTGAACATTATATTTATGAACACATGACATCTGTATTCTGGCAGGTAATGGAGCTCGTGGTCAAAGAAAATTTGATCTTGTCAGAGAAACATATTAGCTTATCAGAATTCCATACGGCAGACGAGGTTAGTGATTTATCTTTTTCTCTTTTCTATATTCCTATCCCATATAGGGACTGCTAGTCGCCTGGCTCTTATTTTTTTGCTCATGTTGCTAGTGTCAATTTCATTTTCTTTTTCGGATTCTCATGCCCCTTGTTACTATCTCTGGAAAATGCTACCAAATGATGTGATATCCTTTAACTAATTTGGGTTGTGTCAGATATATTTAGATCTATAGTTCCTTTAACTAATATTTTAAATGAAAAACAGGTATCAAATGTGATATATATTTTTAAATTGTTGATGAATAGAGCTGCTAACGATCCGAGCCGAGTCGAGCCAAATTTTAAGTGTTTGTTAACGTTCGCGAACAAGGCTCGAGCTCGTTCGTAGTGTTCGAGCTCGGCTCGTTAAGAATTTTTGTTGTTTGAGCTCGTGTTCGTGTTCGGCTTGATTAAGTTCGTTCGAGCTCGTTTGTCTTATTTTTTTTAATTTATATATAAATTATAAAAAAAAATTAAAATTATTTTATTTATATATTTTAAATTAATATTTTATTTATTTATAAATTATAATTTTATATGTATATATAATATTTATAATAAATATATTATTTAAACGAACTTTCGCCAACGTTCGCGAACAAAGCTCGGGCTCGTTCGTTAACCAAACGAACCTGTTTATGTTGTTCGGCTTAGCTCGTTAACGTTCGCGAACGAGCTTTCATCGAGCCGAACCAAGCCGAGTTTACGAACGGCTCGGTTCGTTTAACAGCTTTATTGATGAATAGTGTAAACAGAGCGAACTTTTGCCTTCAAATGTATGCCTGCCTTTTTTTTTCCACAGTTTTATTTATTTCCATCATCCCGATTGAAAGGATCATGAATTATGAGATCATCTACCTCAATTGGTGATTATGTTATTTACGACTATTTTTCTGCTCTACAAATGGGCATTAACGATCCATGTGGCTGCAGGTGTTCACGACGGGCACTATGGGAGAACTCACCCCTGTAAGTATTTAAATGAAACTGTTATACTACTATCCTTCTTTGCTATGCTAACCACGGAATAAACCATGCTTGATTTTGTATTCTCATTTCTGAAACTCAATCCATATTTCAAAAAAATAATATTTTGTTCTTTGGGTTAAATCGTAAAATTCCTCGAGCATCTGCCTGTAACAAATTGAGCAATCAAGTTACAAATATCCTTTGTATCATATCTATTTCCAAGTTGGCTAATGAAGGGGCATTTGTATCTTTAAGATTCAACTGCAGGTTTCTAGATCCTGTTAATAGCCGCCCAAAGATTAATTTCAATAAAGCATGAAATAACCTTAGATTACTAACAGAAGCAGCATATGATGCAAATTCAGTTCGGTTTCTGACCACTTTTTCCATTGCTTAATGCTTATATATCTCTTGTGTTTAGGTTGTTAAAATTGACGGACGAGCAATTGGCGATGGCAGCGTGGGACCTGTTACAAAAAGGCTGCAAGAAGCTTACAAAAAACTCACTGCACAATCCGGCGTGCCTATACCAACATACCAACAACCTTGAGAAAAAAGGAAATCATACCGACCCCTTTTCTCCTATTTCATTGCTCCTTAAAGCTTTTGTGTTGCAATATCTAATCATTAACCGAATTAGAACTCTATTGACGGCTTGAGCTCCTGTTCTCGTTCGATTGGTGGTTATTTATCTCTTGGAAGGTTTGTTCTACTGTCATTTTACAAAATAAATCCACAATATTTCATCGCCCTCATCCTTCGTGTATCATCCTAATTTCTTGTTTAAGTTTCCTTTGTCATGTTTTAAGAAGTGCAAAAGCATCTGTTTTTAACTGAGGACGAAAATCCTGTTTTCACTTTTTTTTCTAAATATTTGAACAATGCACGAGAAATCGAAGAGGGACATTGCATATGATGATCCTGTCTTCTACTCCACAGATGTGATCTTTTATGGCTCCAGTCGCGATGTCTAGGCAGCGTATGGATGCTCGGTTTACAGGCCAGGCAGCTCATCAAGAGTCGACAGAAGCTCGGGATGTCTTAAAATTCTGTTGGAAATTGTTATCTGTATCTAAAGTATAGCGTACTAAGCAAAGCTACTTTGATTCACAACTATGACAAGAAAGGATCCTTTTGGTTATGATGATCTCTCCTTAAGCTTATAAGTTGTGAATCGACTCAGATGTTTAATGCTATATTGTTATTTTCTTCAAAAAAATAAAAACGCAATTAATATTTAGTTTTAATTTCGCTATATTTAAAAACTAATTTAATATTTTATTTTTCATTTCTAAAAATAAAAAGTAAAAATATATACTTGGTGATCTAAACTCAATGTAAGCGAGATAACATAAAACATATATATATATATATATTGGTTAAAATTATGATTTTTGTGGAGTGACTTTTAATTCGAAAGTAAGATTCTTTCATGCAACCTAAAATACCAAAATCACAATTTTATATAAAGTATAAAAAATATATTTTGTTTCTGCAAAATTTAGAAAATAAAAATGATAATTAAAATATATATCTATATATGAGATATTTTGCAATTTTTCCATCATAACTTAGAAGATTTATTTCAATGGAAGAATTTCATAACCCAAAATAGACGGCAGTTTGGAACAGGTCGCGAGGCTACTTTTAATGTGTCAGCAAACACTTGGGACACTTGCAATGTTGACAAAGACTTGTCTCAACTCAATTCTAATGAATGACATAACAAATCATACTTTTCCAATACCCTACGGCTATGGTGATTGGCGACCTGCTGATTTTTCTAAATATTATCAATCAAAAATACAAATATCACATATTTTTAAAATAAGAATATGTATTTATTTGTTTATACTTAAAATATGTATTTATATGTTGATTTTTATGCTATATTTATATTATAATATAATATAAATAATATGTTTTTTTAGAACAATATGTATATTTTTATATAGTTCATTCATTGTGTGTGTTATCTAGCACGATATTAAAATTTTAGCCTTTGTTAATTTGGACTTGTTTTCATTTATTTGCTTCATGATTTTTTTATAAAATATTATATTTATACTACTCTTCAAATAAAAAATTTAATATTAGACTACAAACTCATGTATTTAGATGAGGGGTTGTTTCTAGTTGAGATTGAGGATGAGAATTAAATTAAATTTGAATTGAATATATCTTGCTCAAAGACTTAATTTTGCATGGAATCCAGTGTGTGAATAACAATGTTTTGGACCCAACCCCACGTCCAAAACCATCAATTTCATCAAACTCTTCTTACACACACATATAATACATATACATATACATATACATATATATATATATAGCCCCATAATTAGTTATCTCTAAGAAGGATCGACAATGGCAAGAACAAGTTATAGTTTCTTGATCATCCTTATTACAACATATTTCATGGACATAGCCAATGGCACCAACACTACCACCAATGACCAGACCACACTTGTTATCATAAAATCTCATCTATTTGAGCAGCAGCCTTCGCACCCGCTGCGCCGCAACTGGTCCTCCGCCACCTCTGTCTGCACTTGGGCCGGTGTCGCTTGCACCTCCCGGCGCCACCACCACCCCCGTCGAGTGACACGGCTGAACCTTGCTAGCCTAGGACTTGTAGGAACCATCCCTCCTCAATTAGGACACCTTTCGTTCCTCACTTACCTTAACATCAGCGACAATGGCTTCAATGGGAGCTTGCCGGATGAGGTGGCCGGATTGCGCAGATTGAGGGTTCTTGATGCCGCGCATAACTCCTTCTCCGGCCACATTCCGGCTGGACTTGCCAAGTTGATCAAGCTCAAGTGTTTGAATCTAAGTAACAATCATTTCCAAGGTATATATATATATATATATATATATATATAGAGGCTGCAGATCCTATGTTAATCCGGCCAAACAGTATAGTCTGGTTTGACCATATCAACATATAGATGACCTCAACTTATATTGTGTTATAAGATAATATATGATGAATTATATGTATTATAAATATGATGAGATATATATATATATATATAAATATAATATATGCTGATCTAATCAAATCAGTATCATACTAACTTGACCATATATATATATATTGAAAAATTATGGAAACTCTCTTATGGATACAAAGACAAAGGATTATTTCACTTAACACCAATTTCTTTTAAGTTGGAATTTCAAATATCTTTTTAACATGTTCATCGTTAATTTATTTATCCGCACACGGGAGTCAACCAACAATATATCCACTTAATTTTATTATTATTATTTTTTTGCGATATTTTATGATTCAAAAGGTGCAATTCCAAGAGAGATTGGGGATCTTGGCGAACTAGAGATGCTTGTGTTAAGCAGCAACAAGATTGCCGGGACAATTCCTACACACATTGCCAACTTAACCAATCTTCGAATGTTAGGACTACATGATAATCAACTCACAGGTAAATCAAATCTAACTTCTAAAGTTTTTCATATAATTGCCAAAAAATTTAAAATTTTTCTTATTCGATTCAGGTTCTATACCATCGGGCATCTTCAACATCTCGACGTTGCAATACCTCTACTTAGCAAACAACGAGCTATCGGGAACATTGCCCGCGACAATGGGACAAGACCTCCCGATTCTTCGACATCTTTTCCTTAACAAAAACAATCTTCGAGGCCAAATACCCGAATCCATCGCCAATGCCTCGATGCTCTCGATACTCAGCCTCGAAACCAACCACTTCTCCGGTCCGATTCCCACTTCTTTAGGCAACCTAAAGAACCTCATTTGTTTGCATCTCTTCCAAAACATGTTCACAAGTGATTCATCTCAAGAACTACCCTTCCTTACATCCTTAACAAACTCCAAATACTTAAAAGACATCATCCTAGATGATAATCCACTCCATGCCTTTCTTCCTACTTCCATAGGAAACTTTTCTTTCAATTTCAAGAAGCTAACGATCAATGGCTGTCGAATCAAGGGCGAACTACCGAAAGAGATCGGAAACCTTAGCAACCTAATCCAGTTAGAACTTAAGGACAACGATCTCCATGGATCGGTCCCGGAAACCTTTCGAGGCATGAGTAGCCTTCAGGGCCTGTTTCTTGGCGGGAACAACATCGAAGGGCCTTTTCCTCAGAGCGTCTGCGATCTTCACGCATTGTCTGAATTAAATCTTAGCCATAACGAGTTCTCCGGCGCCATTCCCGGATGCATTGGGAATGTTACGTCGTTACAGAGGATCGATCTTGGTTCGAACATGTTTGGGTTCAGTCTACCGATCGATATGTGGAACCTCGTTGATCTAGTTGGTCTCGATCTTTCGCGTAATGCGTTCGATGGTCACTTGTCGCAAGAAATCGGGAGCTTGAAGACTATTAACTACATGGATGTATCAGAGAATCGACTTACGGGGGAAATTCCGTCGGGATTCAGAAGTATGACGAGCTTGAGCTACCTTTCGTTGGCGAAGAACGAGCTGGAGGGCGCAATTCCAGCATCCCTCGGCGAGATAGCAAACATCGCGCAGCTAGACTTGTCTTATAATAATCTTTCGGGAGAGATACCAACGACGTTGGAAAAGCTTCGTTTCTTGAGGTACATCAACGTCTCGCATAACAAGCTGCGGGGATCGATCCCAATCGGAGGCTGGTTCGAGAGTGTCGATGACTATCGCCTCTTCGCGTCAAATGAAGCCTTGTGTGGTCCTCCGAGGCTACGCATCTCGCGTTGTCCCAGGAAACGTAGGAACAAAGTATCGGTTATAGTTATCATATCGATTGTGGTTGCATCCTTCATCGTCGTCGCGTCGTCTTGTTGGGCGATGAGGTACAAACGTCGACACAGTTCGACCTCCCTCCAAGAGAGCATTGATCCGTCGTCGAATGCAGTCTTCGCAAGATTTTCTTACCAAGAAATTCTCGATGCGACCAGAGGATTTAGCAGCGACAATCTTCTGGGTTCGGGGAGCTTCGGGTCCGTCTACAAGGCAGCCTTCGAGAATGGATTGATCTCGGCGGTGAAAGTGTTTGATCCCCGAAACAGAGACGGCTTCAAGAGTTTCGAGAGGGAATGCAAAGCGCTCGCCAACTTACGCCATCGGAACCTCACTCAAGTGGTAAGTTCCTGCTCAAACCTCGACTTCAAGGCCTTGATTCTCGAGTACATGCCCAACGGAAGCCTCGACGATTGGCTGCACACGGAGGGAAAGTTTCTCGGAATCATGCAGAGGTTAGACATAATGATCGATGTTGCTTCGGCGCTCGAATACCTGCATCACGAGTATCATACGCCGGTCATCCATTGCGACTTGAAGCCTAGCAACATTCTGTTGGACAAAGACATGGTCGGACATGTCACCGATTTCGGGATAATGAAGTTGCTGGGGAAGGATGAAACTTGCGCGCATACGGAGACTCTCGCAACGTTGGGCTACATTGCACCAGGTAAACATCAAAAAAGAAACATCAAGAATCAAGAATTTCTATCGACGAAATGCCATATTAGTCTACCTCTCGCAAAATTACGCTAACTTCATATGCTCGTCTTAAAACATAAACTCTATATCGTAAACTCCAACCGATGTTCATAAATCGTAAGACTGTAACATGACATACCGTATATATTGTTGTTGCAGAGTTTGGACTGAACGGAATAGTATCGAGCGCATCAGACGTATACAGCTACGGCATCCTGTTGATGGAAACATTTACAAGGAAAAGACCAAGCGATGAGATGTTCAGTTCAGACATGAGCATAAGGAAATGGATCGATTCTTTGAGACCAAATGGACTAAGGGAAGCTACAGAACTGAAAGCAGAAGATAAGCATTTCATTCGACATTTGCAGTGTGTTTCAATGATCATCGATTTAGCGTTGGCTTGCACTGTTGAATACCCGAAGGACAGAGTGAACATCAAGGATGTCCGAAGCACACTTCAAAGCATCAAACATAGGTTTTCTGAGAAGCTATGAGTGTAAGAAATATGCAGTTTGAACTTACTTTCTATGATATTTGTAATCTCTATATATCAGAAATGGTACCTTATTACACACAAGATTAGTTATTGGATCCCACGGCTTTCTGGACGAGCTCGGTTTGCTCTTTGACGTGAACTTGGTAGAATCCGGTTGCTGTGGCTGCAGAGGGAGCACGCCCCGCGTATATTATGTTGTCCGTGGTGCCTCTGCTGAGTGCTTTCATTGCAGTCGCGAGACGCGGCTTGATGTAGTTGTATGCACCCATGTTCATCGGCTCTTCCTGACACCAGACGATTTCAGCATCTGGAAAGAGTTGCAGAAAGCAAAAATGGATGATCAGCCTGTGTCGACTTAAAATTTTTTCCATTGCATTACATCTTTTCTTTCTTATGAAACTTTCGAAAAATTGAGTAACACATACTTGGATATCTCTTAAGTTCACGCTGGATGAGATCATAGGGGAAGGGGCAAAGCTGCTCGACTCGGCAGATAGCGATGTCCTTTGCTTCAGCTTTCTTCCTCTCTTCGTCGAGCTCATAATAGACCTGCAAAAAATGCATGTCAAATAACACAACTAATGGAAATATTAACATTGTAACACAAAGAAAACGATTTGATACCTTTCCAGAGCAAAGGATTAGGCGTCTGATACTCTCTTCGATATCAGAATGATTATTTTGATCCTTTATGAGACGTTTAAACCTTGTTCCTTGTTTGTCGAAACCAGGATGGCCCTTAACATCATCAAATTCGGATAAATTGGACTTGCAATCTTTGTGGCGGAGCAAATTTTTAGGAGACATAACGATAAGAGGTTTGCGGAACTCCCGGTGTATCTGAAACATAAAATGCAGAACATGAGAAACAAGCACTGCTGCAGGTTAACCACAGCTCGAGCAAGTTGAGTCCACTCACCTGGCGTCGCAAGACATGGAAATAGTTTGCGGGAGTAGTCACATTCACCACTTGCCAATTGCATTCCTGGATCTGCTTTCTAAGAGTTGGATCCATCTCTGGAATAACATAGGGATGATCATCGCTCATCTGCAACAAAACATGGAAGGTCACCTTCGCCATCATGGATTAAACGAAGAAATAGTCGATGCTGTATTCCAGCAGGAAAAATAAAAACTCAACCACCATTTCACTCTTTTCAAATCAAAAACATTTGCAAGTAAAAGAACAAGGTGTTTCTCCAAAGTTGTCTATTTCATTGAAGCCAAACCAACTAGTAAATCGATTGTGCATGGGGATTATTCATGCTAATCTAGAATCTTCGAACATGGAAGACCTCTTACAGCATATCTTGAGGTTGATGGATGCAAAGATCATTCAACTGGTCAGAATTCAAGAAAGAGTGCATGACCTTAAAAAGGAGACTACAGGTAAATGGCCATAAAAAAATGCTTTTAAGGGTTGAGATGAAATGGAGTCCAAAATACCTGAAGGTAACGTTCCAAACGAGCACTTGAGTGTTCAGGGCCTTGACCATCATATCCATGAGGCAGTAGGACAACTAATCCAGTTTGACGTAGCCATTTGGCTTCTCCACTGCTCAGAAACTGGTCGAATATCACCTGAGCCCCGTTGGCAAAGTCGCCAAATTGAGCTTCCCATAATACCAGAGAATTGGGATTTTCCATAGAATAACCTAATTCAAAACCCAAAACTCCAAACTCGGACAGAGAGCTGAAAAGGGACAAACTTTAGTTAGTAGCTTCTGAGTTTTTGAGACATCATAATATGGTACCGAATAAAAAGCATAAAGGGGATGTAGTTCTAGCTTACAAAAGCCATCAGATACACAGACCAAAAACTTGAAGGAATTTATATTACAAATCAATGGAGATTTAATCTTTTTTGTTTCAAATTCTTTGCTAAAATGAAATTTTCAATCTAACCACTTCTGAATAGACCCCGCGTACACCGTGCTACCATGTCATCTCATATACACCCCTAACATGTTGCTCTTAAACTGCCAGTTCATCAAAAGAAAAATCCTTAACAGTAGTAATCAAGGAGTAATGCACACACTTACTGAAAAATAATGAATTCTTATTACAAAGAAAACAATATGGCAAAAGTATATTGTAATCAAAATAAAGGTTTATGGAAATCTTTGGCTTGATCACTCTGTATTCGGAAGAAGTACATGTTTTATTTTCTACTAACCAAACAATCTACATTATAGTTATAGAGTAAGAAATCTAGATTACTACTGAGCACATTTCCTAATTCAAACAAATCTTAAAGTAGAGATTAAATTACTCCTAGAGAAATACTAATCTAGATAACATAACTATTTAAATGACCTAAACTAAGTAGACTTATATCACAACATCAAACAGCAGAGCATTTCAATAAGAATGATCTATGTTTCAAGATTAATATCCCATCAACATTTCATGGTTCGTTCATGCATTTGGCAGGGGAGACACACTTGAGGACTTACAATGATTGGGTCATTAGTCTCTCACCAATGAAAATGGTTCACTAGAAATAAAAACAACTATGATTTGCATGAAAGATGCTGGTGATCCACACAATAAATTTTTGATAAAAAATTAGAAGAAACAAAAACAGAGAATACCTATTGCTCACAGTAAACATCTCTTCGTTTTGGTTCTCCATTACATGATCCAAGGGACAATATTTGTCCACTGTTTCTTGATCATGAACAACGGCATGTCTATGGCTGAAAGTACCTCGCTCAACATCCTGCCCACTTAACCTGACATGATTCCCCTCCACAAGCAAGGTTGCAAAAGCAAGTGCTTCTCCCAAAGCCCAGTCAATACCCTCGCCTGTCTCGATCATCTTTGCACGTTCTTCGAATATCCTCTTCACTGCTCTATGAGCTTTGAAATTTTCTGGAAGGACTGTGATAGCATTGCCAACATTTTTCAAAATCTCTGGCTTCACGCTGAAAGATAAAAGTTCATTACTGCACAATAAAATGAAAACTTAAACAACTACCCAATTGTGTTGAATAAAAAAAGATTACCCAGTGTTACGGATCCGGGAAAGCTGTTCAGGAGACTTAAAACCAGCCCAGTAAGCAGAAAGCCAGTCCCTCTTTTGAGGCACATAGTCTTTGCTGCCCACAAACTCTTCATTGAGAATTGAAAGAACTTTGTTATTTATCTTATCGATATCTTCTTTTGTAACATGGCCAGATTCTAAAAGCTTGTTTTGGTATATCTGAAGCGCCGAAGGATGCTTGCGGATAACCTATAAAAGACATTAAGGATATTGTTAAAGATGAGATTGCCAGAGGAGTGGTTGAGACAACAACAAAACTTAGAACAGCCAAGAACACCAGACCTTATACATCTTGGGCTGAGTGAAAGACGGTTCATCAATTTCATTGTGACCAAATCGACGGTAGCACACAATATCAACTACAACATCGGTATGGAATGTCTGACGCCATTCTGCTGCAAGCTCACAGGCTTGAACAACAGCCTCAACATCATCACCATTGACATGGAAGATTGGAGCACTCAGAGCTTTAGCAACATCTGTACAATACTGTGAAGACCTTCCTGACCTTGGGTCCGTCGTGAATGCAACTTGATTGTTCACCACAATATGGATAGTACCCCCTGTAGTATAATTTGGAAGAGCGCTTAGATGCAAGGTCTCATACACAACTCCTTGTCCAGCAAAGCTGCCATCACCGTGGATCAAAATACCCATGTTCTTTGTTCTGTTAGAGTCGTTAGAATAGTATTGTTTCGCTCTAGTTTTTCCAACTACAACAGGGTCCACAGCCTCTAAATGACTAGGATTTGCAACCAGTGACAAGTGAATTCTCTTACCCCCTCTCGTTGGCCTATCATAAGAAGTTCCCAAGTGGTATTTAACATCACCAGTTCCAGTGTAAAGACCAACCTCATCCACAGGCTTTGCATTGCCTCCAAACTCACTAAATATCTGCCGAAGAGGTTTCCGGACAACATTAGCCAGAACATTCAATCTCCCTCGGTGGGACATGCCGATGACTATGCTTTCCACTCCAAGATCTGCTGACCTATCAAACATCTCCTTCATGCCAGGAATCAATGTCTCACAACCTTCAAGCCCAAACCTCTTGGCTGCTGTCCATTTAGCAGCCAAGAAACTTTCAAACTGTGTGCCCCAAATAAGCCGGTCGAGTATAACCTCACGCCGCTGGCGGTTGTACTGAGTTGGCAGTGGAGTCTCGATCTTGTCTCTGAGCCAGTTACACTTTTCTCGATCAGCTATATGCATGTACTCATAACCAATATTTCCACAATAAGCTTGTTCTAGTCTTGTCAAAATCGCCCTCAAGGTTTGCACAGGGCGGTTCTCAGACAAGAAACCTGACATCCTCCAAACACCTATGAAGAATTCTCTGTCGAGATCAGCTTCTGTAAATCCATAAGAGGCTGGATCTAGATCATCAGGAATAGGCCTTTCTTCCAATCCTAAAGGATCCAAGTTAGCTTTCATGTGACCATAAACTTGATAAGCTCTCACAAGCAACATAAGCCTCATGCTTTCCTGAATTGTTTGGCCAGAAATTCCAGGCGAAATGTCCGCCTGGCCAACAAAATTCCTGAAGAAATTATCCCACGATTCATCGACACTGCTGGGATCCTGCTCCCATGCTCTCTGGAGCTCTTCAAGATAAACACTGCTTGTCCCATCCAAGAAGCTATCGGTCAGCCTTGAGAGTGGCACAGGATGAGGCACAGGTGTGGATTTTTCTGCCCTAAAAATTGTACCATGGAAATGTCGACACTGCACAGGAGCAGCCCGTGTTCGCCACTTATAAGTGGATGTATTCGAGAAAGCTCTCCTAACAGCAAATCTTGCCACATTAGAACCAGCTCTAAACCAGGCCATGGCTATCCTCCAAATCCCAAAATTCGAAACCCTATTAAGTTATAAGTACTTTGAGATGAGAGATCTTGCTCCAAATTAGCCTAAATTAATCAACAAGTGAAACACCATTAAATATATAGAGCAATCATCAAATCAAACAAAAGAAGGCCTAACTTCACGAAACTCTACAATCACAAACACATTCGCAGCATTTCCACATAATGAAACAGTCCCCCCCAAAATTTACATTCGACACAACGCATCAATGGAAAGTTAGAATGATCCAAAAGGCAAATTACGAAATCCACACAACAGGTCACTCCAGAACATCAAAGTTGTACAGAGCCGATCGAAAACAGGCATTTGCAGCGAATCGAACCAACAGTGTTACATATGCAAAACATCAACATACACATTACGAAACAAAAATGTAAAACAGTAGTCTCCGTACCTCAGGGAAGATGTGGCAGCATCAAGAGAAACTCATGATCTCCAATCCTTTACGGGGCCTTCGGTTTCGCAGCTGTATTTTGAGCTATCACGTGTTTTCCTGTCATAAAGAGGGGGAGACCGTCGGTTTGTGGAGTGGAGAAACTTCCATAACTCTCCTTTTCTCAAAGCTTCTGGACGTAGCGATTCTTCCCATTGTCGAACTCATACTAGTTCTAGAGGGAAGCGGGACCTCGACTCCAGGGACTGTAATAGTTTAGGCTTAGGGTACATTTTATATCTGTTTTCATAATTTTTTTTTTTTTATATGTATTTACCTTTATTTAAATTATTACTCCTATATTAGTATTAGTATTTTTCTTTTTTTTGTTAAAACATTTCAAGATATATATAGTTGCTATAAAAATTGAACAAAAAATAAAATCGTAGCTTAACTCGTACTTATTGCAATCTATTTATATTTGAAATACTCCTTTAAACTTTTTTTGTAGTATGTCTTTACTTACATTTTTTACTAGTTTATAAAATATTTAAATAAAAATACGTGAATTGCAAGATAGATAAATATGGATTACATTAAAATTTTAAAAAATATAATAAGAAAAGTAAGCGAATTTAAGAAAAAATTACTTCTTTTTTAACCTAACATTACAATATATATATATATATTAGATTTTTCCAATATATGTGGATTTTTTATTCTAATAAGGCACGTAAATTAATGTGGAAAATGTAATGGATCTTATATAAAGCTATTTGTGGACAGGAGATGCAAGGGATACGTTAGAAAGTGACGTCATGTTATTAGAGATTAACTAGATATGATTTGAAATACAGTAGATAATGTATTGTTTTTTATTTAGATATAACAATTATATTTAATAATAAATTATAATGTGTATATATATATAAACACCAAGTAAATTCAATATTTTATATAAAATAATTTTACTATTACCGTCTAAGCATATATTATTGTGCTATCACCTCCATAAAATATATGACAGAAAAATGCAACAGCTAATTTTCGAATGCGCTCCAAATAAATATCATATCGAGCGTCAAATTATTCACTATATCTTCCATGTAGAGAAATAGTTGAACCAAGAAGCAAAGCTCGACTCAACTCGACTTTCTTTTTCTTTTTTTTTTTTTTTTTTTTCTAAATCCGGGCTTGAGCTCATCGTTCTTGATGAAATCAAGCTCGGAAGTAAATTGAATACAGATGCTCGAATGCGCCAACAAGGAAAACATGGACAAGCTATAATTCGACACTTGCTTTCTTTCGAAAGATGTATTAACAACAAATGTTCCAATGGCAAGTCTCCAAGTTCATACCATCTGCAGTTGAGTTTATACAACGCTCGAAACATTTCAGAATTGCAATGGTTGCTGACTTTATGATCCGAAGCAAAAGAAATAGATCTCATGTTTTCCATCAAGACGAAGACTTAGTTAAATAGGCGAAAGATTCACCGTTTCAACAGCAGAGGATGATGAGTACAGTAGCACAAGCAAAGTTCATGTTTATTGTAGAGTCACACCAGTAGTGTATCGTCACGAGAGTCAGAAGTAATTGCCCTTGTAGAAATTCTTCAGGAATTCAGATTCGTTCTGTTCTTTGGTTCCCGAATTTTTGGAGGAATCATCATCATGATGACCTACGACATACTGGCCGAGGATGTGGTGCCGCTGTTTCGCATGCTCCACAATGTTGCTCAATTCCTCTGTACCCTTGAACAGCAGCAGATCAATCACCTGGACCATCATGATTTGGGGCAAAGAAACTGATAGTTCAAAAAGTGTCGGTAACCAAAAGATTTTGCATGTAATATTCGATTGTTTTTAGTCGACCGAATATTAGGTGAAGCTTTAAAGAATATATTCAATTATTTGTTGGAATTATCTCAACAAGCTCAATCAATTAGGCCATCATGTGCCTTTTTTTTTTACTATTCAATCTCTCAGTTTTCTAAAAAAATATCATAGTCAATACCTATTTCATCTAAAAACAAAAAGGCACAAAAAAAAAAAGGAACTTAGAGTGTTTCTGCTGATCATACCAAGAATTAAACTACAACATCGAAGAAAAGCTTCCATTGAGTTACATTATAACACGAAAAATGAAATCCCTCGCATTAATATAAAATTTTCAACTTTTAAAATCAATAAATTGCCAGAGACTTTCTTGTTGGATAACCGATCCAGCAAAACTATGTAATGCATGAAAGAGGACTCTGAAATACAAAAGACAGCTTTTGTACTCGGCAGCTAACATGAAATTATATATACTCAACAGACTTGCAATTTGGTATTAAGGTACAAATGATATATATGAAGGCACAGAGCAACATTGGTAATGCATTTCAATATTAGATTGCAATAAGATAACTTGCAGCAGGCTTCTTTAAATCAAATCCACAAAGTTCTATGTTTTAAAGTTTCATAAAATGTTTAACAGTTTCAAGCTTCTTCTCAATCAAAAAGTGGTCAGGATGAAATCATGTAGGGCTCCATGTATTATTCATCACTTCTTATAATTTACAATTTTAAGCATGTGGATGTATGAGTGAGCTGCTCTCCTCTTTAAACAAATCTCACAAGTAATATTTAGCTTTGAATAAATGTTTTAAACAATGAAAAACTAATTTAACATCTGCAAACTTATAGAAAATTTAACACAAACATGGCTGATACATAAATAATACAAGTGGGGCATTATAGAGTTCTTAAAAATGCATGTTAATATTATTAAAATCTGAGAATTAAGGGATGCAAACTTCAGGTAAATCATAAAAGCAGAGTTCATTGATCAGGTAAAAGGATATCTGTGATCATGGAAGTGTGGCCATTGATGGCAATTGACAAGAATGGTAGTGTACTCAAGAGCCAGCATATAAAATTCACCAAAAACTTTCAACTTCAGAAATTACCAGTACATAATCGATTAAAAGCATATTATTTAACATGATCTCTCCTTTCATACTGAAATTATTTGGTGCGCAACGGCAAGTCATTACTTCAACATCTTAGAATGGGCGTTTGTAGGCTTTCAATGTTATATTTCAACAGGAACAGAACTAATTGCTAGACGAAATTGTCAGTAAATCTTGCATTTGTAATAGAAAATCTTCTCCCAGTCAGCCAAGTAAGAACTCAATATCAACAGGTAACTTGTCTTAATGGTTTTCCCAAGTTTACTAGGCAAACCCTAAGTACCAATTTACTGAGCTATTCTGTTCTTGTCACTGAAGCCATTTCTCCATAGAATTTGTTTCTATCCGAATCACACAAGTGAGTCAGAGCAACTAATGCAGTGTGAATAGTTACATTCTCTAAACCAAGTAAAGAACAGGAAGTTAAAAAACAAGAAAGATTGAAAACATTGAGCTGAATCATCTGATTAATTACAGATTATCCTGAAATTGATCCTTTACAGTCGCCCAACGTTTATATCTCCAAATTAGAAGGGGGCATTTTCGAATTCCTAAATTTATGACTCAAAAATCTCAAAATTTCCGCACAGATTACCTAGTCCGCAAATCACAAGGCATGACTACCTCAAAACTAAACGTAGAACGGTTGAGGGGGAAAAAAATAGAATCCAGATAAAAAGGAAAAATTTGGAAAAACAGATCGGACCTTAGGGTTACTGATGTGGGCATTCTTACGGATCTCGGAGGCGACAGTGGAGCGCAGCTGCGAGGGGGTAACGACGTCGTCGAGGTTGTAGATTTCCATGATTTGGGGGATAGATCTGCAAGCAGTCTTGAAGAACTCGAAAACCCTCCGCCGAGCCTCCTCCAGGTTCGCCGAATTCGGCGGCACACGTACGTACTTGAGCGTCGACGCCATTATTGAGGGGGGATTTAGGGTTCTACTGCACAATCGCCTATTGAAAATTGGAACCACCAGAGGTTAACGAAGATGGACTAACGTCGTCGTTTTGATGCTTGGATTTGTTTTTCGCATTTACACTGTATTGTGTTTTTGTGCTTATTATTATTATCTTATTTAAGGTTGTTGCTTGACTCCGTTTATTTGAGAATTTTTTAGATAACTTTTTACTATTTAGTTAATTCTTTTATTATAAATCATTAAATTCAATATTTATTTTTATATGATTCACATAAGCACACTCATATATATATATATATATATAAACAATACACATTATCATTATCACAGACAGTACATGCAATGTATAATAAAAATATATATTGTGTTTTAATAATAACAAGTGTGTTGTATATATGTCATGTACTAAAATCAATTATTGTGTATTGTACGATATTATAACATGTTTTGTATTTATATTATATTAACATATACAATGTGTTGTCTGTAGTAATATGTGTTGAGTGTTGTTAAACTATAGCACGTGTGTTTTGTTTATGTATTGTATTTGTATTAACATATATAATGTATTGTGTTGTCTAATAGCAGTGTTGTTCAGCATAATGTAGCGGCGGCCTTTTTACATTATAGTCTCTCCCCATTTTAATTGATATTTTTTTTTATTTTTGTTTATCTCATAAGAAATTGATATTTTTGTAAAACTTATTTAAATTAAGATATAACAAATATAAATAACTTAATTAACTACATAACATATAACTATCATGAATCATATATGATTCACTCAAAATTTAGTGGGTAAAAAATATGGGTAAAATATTTTTTTGCCCTTGTGAGTATATCAGCGTAAAAAGTAGTGACAATTGTTTAATAATAATGAAAAAGTAAAGGTAGTTTTACAGTGATATGATTATTTATAAAAATAAGACTATTGTTTTATGACGGACAAAAATGGTAAATAAGACTATTGTATTGGGACGGAGAGAGTATTAAAAATATACTCTTTGTCCTCAAAGAATTTTTTACACGAATTTTAATTGATATTTTTTACTATTTCTAATACAATAATCTTGTTTATATTTTTGTCCATCCGTCTCATTTCCATAAATAACCATATCACCATAAAACTATCTCTATTTTTTTATTATTATTACACAATTGCCACTACTTTTTACACTAATATACTTACGGGGGCAAAAAAAAATTATTTATCCTTATTTTTTACCGACTACCAATACAATATCAATATTCTTTAAATATTGTGCCAAATATAGTAAGACTATACTTAAGGGACGGAGAAAATATCTTTTATTAAATTACGGGAGAAAATATCTTTTATTAAATTACGGCCACATACTATTTATTGATATATAACGAAAGTCAACCAACAAGTTTTCTCCAATGTAAAGCGTATGTATATTATATACAAATCTTGACTCTCTTTGATAATAATAATAATAATAATAATAATAATAATATCAAATTATCAGGATTGTATTAGTTATTATTACTATACAATTAATTCAATTCGATTTTGATTGTCTACATTGTGACAGAATAGTGTATATACTTACCAACTTTTTAAAAAGGTTAAAAAGTGTTTTATAGAGTTTGTTTGTTTTATTATAATTTGAAATACTGTTAATTGGAGTTTTTATTTATATATAAAAAAAATAATAAAATTGATCAATATTTTGTGAGAAAAAATAATATACTTTTATTAAAAATTATATCGAGCGAATAATATTAATTTTAGTTTAAACATATATAAATGTATATTCTTTTTTTCCTTAATAAATTATCTATTTGTTTTTTAAGTTCCTGTAACGTTAAAAGTATTTTTATATTTGAATAATCTTTTATATAAATGTTATTGTATTATACAACACTAATAGATATATATATTTTTTTTAATTTGTATTACGTACAATCTCTAATATTAATATTCAATGTTCTTGCCCTTAATATTAAAAATATTTTTACATTATATAATATTTTAATACAAATGTCATTGCATTTATTATACAATATTAACAATGATATTTTTATTTTTATTTTTAATTTGTACTGTGTATGAATATAATATTAGTATTCAAAATTTGACACACAAAAAATAAATAAATACTTAGAATGATGAAAATAATACGTATTAAATTTTTATAAAATATTGAATTAAAATACTATTTAAATTAAAATTCAAATCAAAATCTCAAACTCAAATTAAAATTAACCAAGCAATATCATTAATACATGTAATTATTTAATTACTTGTAATTAATTTTCTTTTTTAAAAAGGAAAAGTTCACTTACTCACTTTCACATTTTAACTCATCACAATTAATGTGAAATTTTACTAAAAAAACCACACACACAAACACATACCCTTTAATCAAAAAATCATCTTTCAAGATTTATAGGACAAATCCTCATTATTATGTAAATATTTCAATATATACAATCTCCCAAAATGATCAAGAAAAATACCAATTTCTCATCATCAAAACCCTAGCTATATATATACATATATAGATATATATAGAAATTCAAGACTTACACTTTGTCTACAATTCGAACAATTCTTCAACCAACAAAAATGAATCAACAAATCGAAACCTTCTCTACAAAGATCATAAAACCCTCATCAGAAACTCCTCGTCACCTTAGAAACCTTAAGCTTTCATACTTGGATCAAATAGTGATAACTGCCTACACTCCCATCATCTTCTTCTACGAAGCCCTCGAGTCGAAAATCTTGATCGAAACTAACCATTCTTGCATCTCTCGACACCTACAGCAATCCCTCGCCAATACTTTGGCGTCATTTTATCCTTTAGCGGGGAGAATCAAAACAAATTCCCTCGTCGAATGCAATGATGCCGGCGTAGACTTCATCGAAGCTCGAGCTCATGCTCGCCTCACGGATTTTGTGCATGGACACGACGTGGAAGTCTTGAAGAAATTGCTACCGCGAGATCCAAGTGACTTCAATGGAACCCTAGTTCTTGTAAAACTCACTCTTTTCGAATGTGGAGGGGTTTCTTTAGGGTTTTGTATTTCACATAAGCTCGCGGATTTTGCATCGATCATGGGGTTTATCGATGCGTGGGCAGCCAAAAGCCGAGGAGGGCCAAAATTTACGCCCTTCACTTTCGACTTGGGAGCATATTTCCCGGCGAGAGAACTTCCCGAGCCGAGTTCTTGGACATTTTCGAATGAAAATGATGTGGCCAACGTGTTTGTTCTCGACAAGGAAATGTTGGCACTTCTTAAGAGCTCGGCAACCTCACAATACGTCAAGAATCCCATGAGAATCGAAATGGTTTCGGCTTTCTTTTGGAAGGTCTTCATCGAGGTAACCCTAGAAAAAAACCCTAATTCAAAAGGGTTTTTCTTTGCATTCCAATCAATAAATCTAAGGCCAAGAATGAATCCTCCTCCACATTTGGAGAATGTTTTTGGCAATTGCTACATGGCAATTATGGGACTATATTCCCCGGAGCATGATCTTGCGCTAGATCGATATCACGAGCTTGTCAGAATACTGAGAGATGCGATCAAGAAGATCGATGGAGATTTCATTAGAGAGGCACAATTTGGCGATAGATATTTCAATCAATGTTCCGAGTTCTTGGCATTGCACGAGAAAGGAGAGTTAAGGGAAGGTTGCGCCTTCACTAGTTGGCGCAACTTTCCTTTGTATGGTGTCGACTTTGGTTGGGGAAACCCTATTTGGGTAGCGACCGCAATGCCTATGAAGAATTCGATCGTGTTGATGGATACTAGGGTGTGTTTGTTTGGGGGTTTGGATTTTGAGTTGGGATTTGAATAGTAAAAATTTTGAATTTGAATAGTTGTATGATGTGATATAAATAGGGTTTGATGTGATGTTTTGAATGTAAAATTGATTTTTAGTATAATATAAAAAATGAAAAATAGGTGTTTGATTTGATGTTTTTTGGGGGAAAAAATTGGATGAATAGTGGAAATCCACCAAAATCCTTCAAACAAACACACCCTAAGTGTGGAGAGGGGATAGAAGTATGGGTTAATATGGATAGAAATGTTGTTAAAGAACTTGACAAGAAAATTGATCTTATTCGTACTCAAATGTTTGTTGGTTAGCTTCAAACTTTATTTTTTATTATTAAAGTTAAATTCATATTTGATGAGATTTAAAAAAAAATTGGTTTGAATCTGATATTAAAATAATATATGATGTGATATTTTGTGAAAAAAATATATATTTTTATTGAAAAATGCAAAGTTTAAATAGTAGAAAGCTGATCTTTTGAGTGTAAAGAAACACTATTTACTAAGTGTTTCTAATAAATTGTTGTTCTATCTAATTATGGAATGATTTGGGTGTAGACATGATGATGAAGTGATTATAGCATTTTTGTTCGATCTCTTTATCATTTGAGTTTATTTATTTTTGTGAATTCTTCTACAAATGCGATGCTCTTGCTGTTTAATTTGAAGAAATGTCTTATCATTTATAAAAATTTATTTGGATATGATGGCTCTCAAATTCATATATCAAATGTTGTATAGACATAAATAATAATGTCTAGATGGGCTCGATGGGCCTAAATTTATTATATGGGCCCTAATCTTGTTTAATATTAAAATGGGCCAAGCATGACCTAATTAATAATTGGAGACACCATCTGTATACTCTTTTAAAGTTTTGTTTTTTTATTAGGGTTTGTTAATTTATTATTTTTAAGTAGTGAAATGATTATTATTATTTTTAAAAATATATAATATACATATGTTTAAGATAATATAAATACTATATTTTATTTATTTACAAAAAAAAAATAATTAAACACGAAATATTATTTTTCAATATTATTAACACAATTTTTCATATTTAAGATAAAAAAAATACTTACATTTAAAAAAAAAAAAAACCTTTAGATCCAAGTAGTATTATTTAAATAAAAAATCAAAATAAAAAAATAAATCCAAACTCAACAACCCACAAGTTGTTCAATATATATATATTTCAATATTATATGGGGAAGATAAATTGCTGTACTAATGAACAATATATAAATTAATGGGTTGGAATCTTCAATTTCAAATAATTTTCGACTCGTCTTAACACATTGCATTAAAAAAATAAGTAATAATAAAACATTAAAAATAAGAAATAAAATATAATAAAAATTCATTATGATATTAAGAAATATAATATATACTTAAATCATGGAATCAAATAAGTACAGATCTAAACAACGACTAATAATTAATGGGTCGATAATTTGAACTCATAACCTCGTGATCAAGACTCAACCTATACTACTAAGGTCATTCTTTACGGGTTCGATGGTTGGTCTATTGTTGAAAGTTTGGTTAAACGAGATATGATTTTGTTAATACTTTTTTGTCATTTTCACTATTTTCGTCAAAAGTATTTTTTTAAAAAAAATAATAATAATAATTATACACTAATATTAAAATACCCTTACTTTTTACATAAATTACAAACATATCATTACATATGCAATTATTTTATATATAAAGTCAAAAGACAAAAATATTAATATTTTTTTAATCTACTTCAGAACCCCAAAGGGTTTCTTAAATGGACCGGAGAGAGTATTTGAGTCATGATTGGGTGTATTTACTTGTGAAGTTTTAATTTTGAATTGAAATAGTGGTTTGATGTGATATAAATATGTATTGATGTGATGTTTTGAATATAAAATTATATTTTAATGTAATAAAATAAATAAAAATTGGATATTTGAGTTGATTTTTTTGAGGAAAAAAAAAATTAAAATAGTAAAATTAGAGATAAAATCTTACAAATAAATAGAGCCGATATTATTTATATTTGAATACAATATACTTCCTCCGTCCCAATACAATAATCTTGTTTACCATTTTTGTCCGTCCCAAAACAATAATCTTATTTTCATAAATAACCATATCACCATAAAACTACTCATATTTTTTTTATTTTTATTACACAATTACCACTACTTTTTACACTAATACATTTACAAGGACAAAAAAGTATTTTATTTATACATTTACCGACTACCAATATAATATTAATATTTCTTAAATCTAGTATCCAACTCAATTAAGACTATATTTATAGGACGGATAGAGTATTATATTAAGCAGAATGAATGGACGGACAATTTATATTTGTAGTAAAATATCATCACACTAATAAATTCATTTATATACTTTATTAGAAGAAAAGGATATCACTAGCTTCATGTCTTTTGGGTGCATATGCACAAAGCCTCGTCCTGTCCCCATCCTCATGTTTTTGGGATGTCTCCCAATTACATCCATCCATACAATACATACGTCATATATGTTATAATAAAATTCTAATGGTAGATTAAACGTAGCTATAAGTGAATCAAATGATCTATAAATAATTTATTAGGTTTCAATATATTTAGTAAATATGATTTTTTATTTGCAGGAATCTAATAACTTATTAATCGGGGGATGATTAACGCCGATTAATAATAAAGTATATATAATATAGTTGTGATCTCAGATCTACCGCAATCACTATTATTTTTTATACTCCCTCCGTCCAGCTACAAAGTATACATATTTCTATTTTGGGACGTTCAATTACAAAGTAACCATTTCATTAAATACCCTACTTTTTTTCCACAAATACCCTTACTTTACATCACATCATGGCAAAAATGTCGTTACACTATTTTTTACTTATCCACTATAATTAAAATACTATTATTTCTTAAACTCTGCCCCAAAAGTAAATGTTTATTTTATCCGTGGACAGAGGGAGTATTTCATATCGTTGGCCACAGAAATTTTAGCAGCTTTTTTTTTTAAGAGAGATTGCGACATAGATTTAAAAAGTACAAACCCTTCATTAATTTATAGATTCGAATTCGACGGAGCTAATGAAATCAGATTAAATTTAATAAATTTATTTTTTTTATCTCATTATTTCAATACGAGAGATTCTGGGCCTGATTTATTTTATTTTGGGAGAAGTTCTAACACTACGAGTGTGTTTGACAATTAGTTGATATTTTTAGCTGTTAACTGATTCAATTAGTTGTTAGTTGTTAACTGATTCAATTAGCTGATTTGACTAGCTATTCAATTAGCGGTTTGACATTAGCTTTTTATACATAAAATGACTATTAAGGATATTGATATGTTATTTTAAAAATATTTAATTTTGTTCATTTTGGTTTGAAATTTATGAAAATTTTTATTATTAATTATTGAAAATTATAAAAAATATTATAAAAATTTTTATTTTTATTATTTTGATTTGAGAAAATTATTTTTACTAGAAAATATTAATTATTTATTAAAATTATGTAAAATATAAAATAATAAATCTTTTGTATATATATTTTTATTATATTAATTATTGTTTTAATATATATAAATAAACTAATAATCTTTGTTTTTTCTATTTGACTTAGTTTTAAAAATTCATATATTTTACAAATAAAATAATTTATATGTAATAATTAATAATAGTAATTATTTTAAATTTATAAAAATAAAAATATAATTAAATATATTAAAAATAATTAATAAATACTGCTATAAAAATATATTTATAAATATAAAATAAATAATTAAATTTTAATGATAAATAAGAAATAATCAAAATTAAAATAAAAAAACTTTTCCAAAATACTGGTAGATGAGGTTTTTAAAAATTAATTTTTGTGAGTCAAAACTTTTTTTAAAAAAATTAATTTATCAAACACCTAAATTAATTTTTTGGGCGATGAAAAATTGTTCAAGCTAGAAGCTCTTCAATTTCCCAAACAGCCTCTATATATCTCTTCCCCTCCATCAAGAATCACGCACACCGAATCAATTTAATTTAAATTAATTTTTTTATCGATATATCACAAAATGCAAATAATAGTATCGAAAGAAATTATCAAGCCGTCGTCTCCGACGCCCCCTCACCTCTACAACCTCAACCTCGGCTACATCGATCAGCTCCACCGCTCCAACTACATCCCCCTCATCTTCTTCTACAACTCCGCCGCCGCCGACGGCAGCCGTCCCCAAATTTCGCGCCATCTCAAGGAATCCCTCTCCAAGGCGCTCACCGCCTTCTACCCTCTCGCCGGAACCGTCTCCGACGACGGCTCCCTCGCCCACTGCAACGACGCCGGCGCCGAGTTCGTCGAAGCCCGAGTCGACGCGCCGCTCGACATCGCCGCCGTGCAAGAACACCAAATCGAAGATTTGAATAAATACCTTCCCATGGATCCCAACCACAGCGAAGGAACGGCGCTCGCCGCCGCCAAAGTCACTTTCTTTGACGGCGGCGGCGTCGCCGTCGGCGTCTGCGTCTCCCATCGGATAGCCGACGGCGGATCTGCGGTGGCGTTCATCAACGCCTGGGCGGCGATTTCCCGCGGCCAGGAGAATAATTTCCCGCGCCTGGATTTCAACATCGCGGACTTCTTCCCCTCCCGGCCGGACCTCCCCGACCACCGCCACCACTTCTTGTCGTTGGCCGACAAAACCTGCGCCGCCAAAAGATTCGTTTTCGACGAGGAGATGCTGTCGGCTCTGAAACGGGCGGCGGCGTCGCCGGCGGTGGCGAATCCGAGCAGAGTAGAGGCCGTCTCGGCGTTCATCTGGAAGCACTTCATCGGAATGTCTAAACCGCCCGGTTCGCCGCCGCCGCCGTGCGTTTTTCCGGCGCTGCAGGCGGTGAGTCTGCGGAGAAGGACGCAGCCGCCGCTGTCGCTGGAGAACGTGTTCGGCAACTGCTACATGCTGTCGTTGGGTCTGTACGAAACGGATTTTCCCGGCGACAGCGACGGCGAGCTTTACCGGTCGCTGGCGGCGGTGCTGAGGGGGGCGGTGAAGAAAATCAGCCATGAGTACATCGAGAAAGCGCGGCGGGGAGATAATTACGTGGCGGATCTTCCTCAGTTTTATGGAATCGATTCGAAGGGGAAGGAGACGATGGAGGCGGCGGTGTTCAGCAGCTGGAGCGGGTTTCCGGTGTACGAGGTTGATTACGGGTGGGGCCCGCCGGAGTGGGTGTGCACGACGGCGTCGCCGGTGAAGAATACGACGATATTGATGAGCACGAAATGCGGCAAGTGCATAGAAGCTTGTGTGATCATGGAGAAGGAGAAGCTGCAGATTCTTGATGCCCAGATCAAACTCATTTCCACCGCTGTTACACTTACTTCTTCTTAGAGTGAGAGGCTGTAACTGTGTCAAACTGTGGGAGAGAGAAAGATCCATCCACGGGTATTATTACTGTTATTATTGTTATCATGAATGAATATGGAGTATAATATTTTAAATTCAAATTAATTATTGATATAATACTATATATATTTGATTTAATTTTTTTTATGACGTAAAAATTTACAGTCGCTATCGAACTTAATAATCTGAAAACTAAGTCCGACAAGGTGAACTTGTAGACATGGAAGTTTGAATTCGTGCCTTAATTCACATTGGTTGTCATGGTCACTGTAGACACAAAAATTTAAGATAAGTACAATCAGTTGATAATTTAAAATGTATTAGTAAAAATAATTAATTTATAATATAAATCATTATAAATTAAGATTAAGATAATTAATTAGTTTAATTAAAATTAAAAAAAATAAATTAGAAAATTTAAAATAAAATTAAGATAGGGTAATCATTTTTTTTAAAAAAAAGGAAAATGACATGAGACGTAGGACGAACAGAAACGACAATATGGACATAACATGATAAGTGGGACGGATAGAGTAATATTGTATTTTTTATAAAAATCATAAAACGCTACTTAGGTTTAGTTTGTTTGTGGTTTTAGAATCCGTTTTGCATTATCTACCCCTTCGTCCGCTTATACTTTTTCATTTTCATCTGTTCAAATATAATATATATATATACATATATATATATTAGTAAATTTTATTTTTTCCGTTCCATGTAATATTGGTGTATTACTGTAGACACGAGAATTTAGGTAAATTATAATTAGTAATTAATTAAGAAGTGTATTAGTAAAAATAATTATAAATTTAAATTAAAATAAGTAAATAGTTTAATTAAAATTAAGAAAATTATAAAATTTAAAATGAGATTAAAGTGCATAATTATATTTTCAAAAATAAGAAAAACAAAACAAGTTATATAGAACGGACGAAAATAAAAAATAAAAATAAATTATGCTGGACAAAAGAAGCATCGTAATACATATAATAAATAGTGGCGGAACCACTAATGGACAGACTAATTAGATGGTTAATTTGATTAAATCAATATCATATTTGCCGTCTTGGTCAAATTAGTACTTGTTTTAGAAGGCAGTCTCCAATCATAGGTAACAATATAATATTATGCTATATAAAAATATTTATTATGAAATTTATATACTCCCTTCCTCCAAAAATACTTCTATTATTATGGTTTAATATAAAAGTAATGATATTTGTATAATATATTTGTATAATATATTGTAAATTAAAAGGATATTTATTATATTTCTAATTACTAAATTAGAAAATAATAACTTTATATTTAGGATAGATGAAAATGGAAAATGGTAACATTTGAATAAAACGGAGGAAATATTATAATCTATTGTATATATATTATAAAATCAATAATATATTGTAATATGTATTGTATTATGATATACTGTCTTTTATGCTCTAAGGCTCCGTTTGGATTGTCTTCTGGCAAGAGCTTTTGGTTTCTTTTTCTAAAAAAAAATAATTTACACCTGTTTGCATTAGCTTTTGTCCAAAAGCAAAAGGAAAAGTGCTTTTTTCAGAAGCATATTGGAGGTAGCTTTTGAAATAAGCAGAAGTATTTTTCAATTAAAATTACTATTTTATCCTTAATAATAATAATAATAATAATAATAATAATAATAATAATAATAAATACAATAATACAATATAATATAAAAATAAATAACTTATATATTATATTTTAATACAAATTAAAAAATATAATTTAATTTATTATTTTTAATTTATGTATTATATTTGGATTAAAATTTAAAATTTAAAATCGAATGTAAATAGGAGTATATAAATTTTTTAATTATACCTAAATTACTAAATATAATTTATAAAATTTTAAAATAAATTATAAAATACAAATTATATAATATTATATTGTAATTTTATGTTTAATTGATATATTATCATTAAATTAAAATTTTAAAATATAAATAATCAAAATTTAAAAGTACATTTTTTATACTTTAATTTAAAATCTTTAAATAAAATTTATAAAATTTAAATTAAATTATAAAAGTGTTATAGAAAAATATTAGTATTATATTAACTGCATGTCCTTTTAAGTAATTTTAACAGTTTAAAAGCACTTTCAACTCTATAACGTCCAAACAGTTTTTTATGAAAAACTGCTTTTATAATGATTTATCCAATCACATCAAACTTCTACTTTTGGCTTCTACTTCTGGCTTCTGCTTATTTCTTAAGCCAATCTAAACGGTCCTAACTGTTTTATATATAAGTGCTAATTGGATCACCCCCACGCCCACCCCGACCCCTACCCCTCCCTTTTTTTTTCTTTTTTCTTTTTTTTTTGGTTTTTTGTCCTATAAAAAAATAATAAAAATATTACATGTAGAGATAAGTAAAAAATAATGTTAAAAATCTTAAAATGTGTTTACTTTTTTTTTTTTTTTCCCTTTTATATCAATTTAATGCTGTCCATCATCTGTGTATACATTATTGAAATCTTTAATAATAACCGGCACTAAGGAAGGGCTTTTTTGTCTAGAGATGTTTTTTTTTTATATGATATACTATTATTTGTTAAAAAAAAAAAAAGAAAAAGAAAAAGCCTTGAATAATCAACTTTTGAAAAGACAAGAATAAATGGAGCACTGTTTATATAGATGTTAATAATTGGAACTTTTTATATTAACAACATATGGTTGTGCTTAAATTTCTATTCAAAATCACGATCTATTATTATTCCTTTCACATAAAATTTAATAAAAATATATTATTTTTTTATAAAATATTATTTAAATTAAAATTTAACACTCCAAATGCAAACAAAAACAAAAACCAATCATATGTATTACCACAGTCAAATTAAATAATGAGTATATATTTTCAAAAAAAAAAAGGATTACGAAGTCCTATGCCAAGCCCACCAGGCCCAAACATACGAAGAATAAGTCGGTCATATGAAAGGCCCAATATGCCCAAAAGGCTAGCCCACCAACCCCTCGAGATTAGCCCAAAGGCAAGTAGGCCATAAACCGTTTGAAAGCCCAAAAATACATTTACAAAAATTTGGATAAGGTACATGACTCGGACTAATTATCATTTTTTTTTTTTTTTTTTTTAATGACGTGAGAACCCGCAGCGGCTACCCGAGAGTGCGCACTGGATAAACTCCGGCCCCGAACCTAATACAAGGTCCGACGAAAAAGTTACACTAGACGAACCATGTGTGGCAGGTGACCTGAAACGTACGAGAAAGTTACACCGAACCATGTGTGGCAGGTATCCTTACTCGAGTAGTTTATATATAGATATATATAGAGAGAGAGAGAAAAAAAAAAAAAAAAGTATTATTTTGTGAGAATAAAGTATTTATTTTTACTAGAAATTGCGCAATAATTTCATAGTAAAAAACTTAAACCAAACTCCAAATAAAACACTCTTTTTCTCACAAAATTATAGTCAAAATAAGTCCGAGGTTATAGGTTCGGACTCCAACACCTACAAGTTCTGTCACGCATAATTTGTCTAATATGAATTGTCTTGTCAAGCTTTATTAGCATACTATTAAGTTAGTCTTGAGATTTATCCAGTACTTATCTTATATTTAGCATTTAAAAATATTATTAAAAAAATATTTAATTTTAAAATATTTGTTAAAAATAATGTTGTTTTTTTTAAAAAAAAAGTGTATACAATATATTAGAGATTATGAAAATTTACACACTTTCAATGTTTATTTCTTATTTAAAAGACTATATTAAAATTATATATATATTTTTATAAATATTATATATATAATTTATAATTTATAATTTTATTCAAATCTTACTGTTTTTAGTATAATTTAAAATTAGTTCTCGGGTCTTCCGAAGGTTCGAAAAAGTAGAAGAGGATAGTGTTCTCATTTAATGAATCGTAATGTTGACCATATGGATTCGATCTCATTTGCATTTAATGCAGCATGCACATGCAGCACGTGCTTTTTGTTTTTTTTACCTGAATTATATATACCTTGGACCACTGAGCCAATTTGACATAAATTAATTATATACGTGTGAATAGAATTATAGTATAATAATACCGAGTCGATTATTTTATTTATTTATTTATTTATTTATTTTGAATTACTGGTAGAACACCCATCAGTTTTATTTTCCCAACTACCCCCAGTTTTCCAACTACCCCCGGTAAGTTCATATTTTTTTTATTTGACACAAAAATTTATGAGCGGTATCATTAATAAAATAATTAAAATATAAATAGTTATAAATTAAAATTAAAATAAATAATTGGTATAATTGTAATTAAAATTTTGAAATTATTTTTAAAATAATATTATTAAAATGTGTAATTTTTTCAAAAAATATAAAATATACTAAAATGGCAACATAAACACGAAATATGAGATGAAAACAATATTTTTTTTTATATAATATCGTATTAAAATAATATATAAATTAAAACTCACACTCAAATACAAACCAAACTTAAATTTATAAGACTAGATCATTTAATTACTCCCTCCATTCCACATAATTTGTCTCTATTTTCTTATTTTCGTTCGTCCCACGTAACTTGTCCTTTCTATTTTTAAAAATATAATTATGCACTTTAATCGCATTTTAAATTTTAAATTTTATAGTTTTTTTAATTTTAATTAAACTATTTAATTATTTTAATCTTAATCTATAATTATTTTTACTAATACACTTCTTAATTACTTACTAATTATACTTTACCTAAATTATCGTGTCTACAGCAATACACCCGTATTACATGGGACGGAGGGAGTATATTTTTAAATTTTTTTTTATCAAACTTTTACTATTCATCAAAAAAAAATTCCAAAAAATATCAAATAAAATATTTGTTTTTTATTTTTTATATTACACTAAAAATTAATTTATATTTAAATCATCGTATCGATATTTATTTATATTATATCATACAATTATTCAATTCAAAAATTTTACTATTTAAATTCCGTCTACATGAAAAACTCCCAAACAAACACAGTCTACCTGTGGCTGCCTATTGCGTATGAGAATTAGGTGGGAGAGAGGGTGCGAATGAAAATTAATTAGGTGGGTTGTG